TTGGCCTTGATACAGCATACTAAATGGCCGAAAATTTAAAAAATCGGACAATAACCACGCCCACATCCCATATAACGGTAATTTAGAGAAATACAAAATCTTCGATAAATCAGTAAATATTAAAGCTAATTTATTCAAAATTGATGCTTGCAACAATTCTTTACCAAGATATACGTTTATGGTAAAATTTTGGAAAATGGGCGTGGCACCGCCCACCTATGATCACATATATGTATATCGGTAACCGTTCTACCAATTTGTACCAAACTCGGTATTTTTATTGTGCTTGCCACATAAAAGCAACAAAGAATGTATCCTGATCGTGTACTAAATCCTCACACCGNCGCTCCGTTTCATCTTGGTTTCCTTACATTAAATATTCAAGAAAACTCGAACGTATTTAGTTATTACCCATTTTTAAATGTACTTACTTGCTCTCGTCGGCGGTTTATCTCTTAACAATTTCACGTTTATTAAGAAAATTTGTTGCTTGAAAAATGTGTGTGTAACTTTTTTTTAAACAAATTCAAATTTGAAAAAACAAAATTCAAATGGGTTAAGAATTCATTTCAGTTTGACATAATAGCCTGTTTCTTATGAGAGCAATGTCAAAATCAATCACACTTTGTTGAATACATTTTGGACATGGCCAATGCGAATTTATAGCTCTGATCCAATACTTTTCGTGAAAAATCCTGTAAAACTGTCAAACAGCAAAATTACTCTCTGAAGTGAGTGCAAAAAGTGAGTAACAACAAAATGTACGGGAACAAAAAAACCATTTTTCCGCATGGTGTAATAAACTGAAGGTGGCGCATTCCCGAAACCGCTACTTTGGTTTTGCCGACTTTGACGTTTATGGCAATACGTAAACAAACTTTTTGTTTAAAAACAAGTGCAAACGTATTGCAAACGTATTGTGTATTTTCAAGTGAAAAATAGAAGTAATTCGTGCGTTCTGAAGTTAATGAAAAAATGAAATGTGGTTCATTTCAAGAGTGGTTGTATAATTTTTGTTAACGTTGTGCTTAATTTGCTATAAGATGGCTTGAAAAATTGGTGAATTGTGAAGAAAACACGTTTTCTCATTGCAAATTCACAACTGTCAACTCATTGTTCTTCGCCGAATTCTTTGTTTACCCGTTGCCGTAAATGTCATTCTGCGGGANTGAGAGTAAAAAGTGAGTAACAACAAAAAGTACGGGAACAAAAAATCGATTTTTCCTGTAAAAACGTCAACCAGTGATTGCTTGACACTTTTCATGATTTTACCAGAAGAAAAAGTTCGGGTAAAATCTTGCGACTTCATTCTCTACACAACTCTCCAAAAGTCGCTCTCATTTACAGGATTTTGGAGGATTTTGGAGTACGGGAACATTTTTCCTGCAACTTCCTGCAAGTTCGTGTAAAATCATGTACATAAGTTCATGGAGTACTGGATCAGAGCTTATATAAGGTGGTGTTACTAGCTCAGTTGATTTTGTGTATGTGTTTCGCCGCACGGCTTCTGATATCAAATTGAAAAATTTTTTTTGAATATCTACACACACTTACAGATTTTGACAGTTTATGCCGCCAAAGTAAAAACAAAATACATGTAAATTTTTGTTTTTGTACTCCTGCTATCACCTTGTATTAATTCTCCTTGGACATGGCATTAAAAGCGTAACGAAATGTAGGAAATAAAACAAAACAAGTTGAAGTTTAAAGGTCTAGTTCTCACGAGAGCACCATGAACGAAAGACACAAGATCACGCGGGAAGGAAAGAACGAAAAAAGTTATTTTCTAGCTGCCGAAATCTCGACGCCATCTTTGTTGTAAGAAGTAAACAACGAAGAGAACGGAGAAAACCGCGAAATTGTTGAACGCATGAAAAATCATTTTTATTATGCAAATTCTTCTAAAAATCATGCCGTTGTGTTAAATTATTCTTTATCTTATGTGTACACACGTTGTCACAAGCGAAAATGAAGAAAATTGCAGTAAAAAGCCACCACCAAATTGTAAACAACGAAGAAATGTAAACAAACGGCTAATGTCAAAATCGTTAAACTTTTTTCCTTAATGCGATTCTAACGGGATACTCTCCTGCCCGCGTGATCTTGTCCTTTTGGTTCATGCGAGAGCAACGTCATTTTGGCTTCTACCTGTATTTATGTGCNGATCAGAGCTTATATAAGGTGGTGTTACTAGCTCAGTTGATTTTGTGTATGTGTTTCGCCGCACGGCTTCTGATATCAAATTGAAAAATTTTTTTTGAATATCTACACACACTTACAGATTTTGACAGTTTATGCCGCCAAAGTAAAAACAAAATACATGTAAATTTTTGTTTTTGTACTCCTGCTATCACCTTGTATTAATTCTCCTTGGACATGGCATTAAAAGCGTAACGAAATGTAGGAAATAAAACAAAACAAGTTGAAGTTTAAAGGTCTAGTTCTCACGAGAGCAACATGAACGAAAGACACAAGATCACGCGGGAAGGAAAGAACGAAAAAAGTTATTTTCTAGCTGCCGAAATCTCGACGCCATCTTTGTTGTAAGAAGTAAACAACGAAGAGAACGGAGAAAACCGCGAAATTGTTGAACGCATGAAAAATCATTTTTATTATGCAAATTCTTCTAAAAATCATGCCGTTGTGTTAAATTATTCTTTATCTTATGTGTACACACGTTGTCACAAGCGAAAATGAAGAAAATTGCAGTAAAAAGCCACCACCAAATTGTAAACAACGAAGAAATGTAAACAAACGGCTAATGTCAAAATCGTTAAACTTTTTTCCTTAATGCGATTCTAACGGGATACTCTCCTGCCCGCGTGATCTTGTCCTTTTGGTTCATGCGAGAGCAACGTCATTTTGGCTTCTACCTGTATTTATGTGCCTTGATATACAGTTCAATGCGAGCGTGAGCGTGAGTTTTTTATTTTGACCAATATCTTCGTTATTACTCAACTTTTTGCTATAGTTGAGACATAAAAAGATAGAGAATTAAAATATATTTCATGCATTATATGCATTTTTTTCGAGCTTGCACTCAACTGTGTGCGTACGCAAAGCATTCGCATGTGAACGGCAAGTTTTGACGGATGTGGCATATTATGCATTTTAAATTAAAGCTGTGACAGACGGCAAAGCTTATGCTTATAATCTGGCACACATATGCACATAATAATTTTGACCTAATAGACGGCAGTTATGTGGATAAATGAGCCGCAAGGTCGTGGGTTCGAGTGCCATTGCCAGTTGAATTTTCATTTATTTCGTTTTCATTCTTTTTTTTATAAGTTCTATATTTATTTACGTTGCTTTCAGTTAGTTGTTGTTGACTTTTTATTAAAATTCAACTCTAAAAATTTAAATTAACTAAAAGTACAATAAAAAATGTGATATAAAATAAAGCAAATGAAATCAAAATGAAGTAAAATTAAATATATAGACCAAATAAAATAAAAATATATATAAAATAAATAATAAAAACAAAAAAAATTTCGCAATCGCTCCAACCGAGGATCCAACCTTGCAGCTACTTGTAGCCCGTAACTCTTACCACTCGGACACCGCGGACGCGGAACTCGCGTGCTTTGTTTGCTTACTTGTACAAAAGGCAACAGCTGGCCGTTTTTACCAGTGTTGTCAACGGAACTGCCCGGAGCCGAGCCCAAAAATTTCGTGCATTTGTTCGGCTGCTTATGCGCATTTTAAAGAAGAAAATGCATGAGTCAAAGCAAATAAAGGCTGTTTATGCAAATAATCGAGCCCGTTTGTCAACCGTATTAGTTTTTATTCTATAATTCTGAAATATATTTTAATTCTCTATCTTTTCATGTCTCGATTATAGCAAAAAGTTGAGTAATAACGAAGATATTGGTCAAAATAAACACCTCACGCTCACGCTCGCATTGAACTGTATATCAGGCTTTAGGTGAAGTGACGTGTGGTTAGTTGGTGTGGGGTGAGGTAAGGCGGGGTGTGGACAGTTGATGTTATATCTATCCCTCTCCCAGCGTTAGGAATGTTCGATATCGTATCGATTATTCTGAATATCGATATTTCATGGCACGATAATCGATTTTTTGAATCGATATTCCAAGGCCGATATATCTATCCCTCTCCCAGCGTTAAGAATGTTCGATATCGTATCGATTATTCTGAATATCGATATTTCATGGCACGATAATCGATTTTTTGAATCGATATTCCAAGGCCGATATATCTATCCCTCTCCCAGCGTTAAGAATGTTCGATATCGTATCGATTATTCTGAATATCGATATTTCATGGCACGATAATCGATTTTTTGAATCGATATTCCAAGGTCGATATATCGAAGACATCGATACTTTACCCGCAATATCGATATTTAATGTGAAATTTATTTTTGATCTACAAATAAGTGTATGGGAAAATACTAAAGTAGGTTTAATCAGCAGCTTGTGTGATTTATTTAGCTCTTAAGTTTGACAAACCGCTTAGTCGACCGGCATCCCGTTTTAATCCTCAGTAAATATACAAGATGGAAATAACACAATTAGGTGAGTTGACAGGCAGGTCCACGGTGGAGAGAATACAGAGGTGGCGCCGATGACGATACCGCTACTCGGCTCTCAGTGATTTTTACAGAATCAGCTGTTTTGGTGACGTCATAGAAGAGCAGACAGCAGTAGTGATGTGCTGAGTCAATACTTTTAAGTACCCAATACTCTCTATACTCGGTACCGAAACATTTAGGTTTCGAATAAAAGCGCACATAGGCCAAAAATATGGAAAAACGCCTAACCAAACCCGAATGTAAGAGCCAATAGAGCTTTTTTACTGATTCAAATGAAAGATGTATATATGTCGGTTCGATGCCATAATACAGAGAAACCCACGATTGAGAGAATACAAAGGTTGCGCCGATCTCGGACCGCTATTCCTCTCTTAACGNTATATATATTTTTTTTTTTTTCGTGAAAAAAGGGCGGCAAGTTATGAATTGCCTAGGGGCGGCAAATATTTAAATCCGCCACTGATTATATCATTCTTGAGAGAAACCCTTACTTGTTTGAAGCATTTTTGTTCCAGCTGAATCACACGATATTATTTTTGTAGGCCTGGGACAGATTCTGTAACCAGTTAACGACAATTTTCGAATCGGTATCGGTTTTGTCGACGTTTGATATCAAATATTTGTAAGTCAACAAGTGCGATATCGATCCGAAACTTGTCGCTAACTGGCTACAGAATCTCTCCCCTGAAAGGCTTCTTCATCCGTCAAAGTATTTTTCTTGAACCTTGGACCGACTAAGGTTAAAACTGATAAAATAATATTTTTCTGTGGCGATAAGTTCAAGTGTTTTAGCCGATATCATATAAATTAGTAATGAAAGTTTTTTCTAAACCTGAAATGCATATAATGGCGAGGGTTTAATGTAAATAATCGGTATCGGATACCAAAAAGGAAGTATAGGGTACCGAAATCTTTTTTAAGTATTGGGTACCGAGTATTGGGGACAACTCAGCACATCACTAGTCGCCCTCATTCTCGCCGCTCTCAGTTGTCAACTCTACGATGACGTCACGCTAAAATTACTCTCACGAATTCTGCTGCAATCGGCGCAATCTTGTATTCTATCATTCTTGAGGCAGGTCTGATGTTCTATTCAATTGGGAGTAGGATTTTCAACATCGATTTTTCCTATATCGATATTGCTCAGCCCGATATATCGCCAAATCGATTTTACATGCAGTGAATTAAATCGAATCATGATATCGATACTTTCTTAAATAACGAACATTCCTACCCAGCACAGTATATACAGTAATAAACCTTTTTAAGTACCCTCGGGGGCATAATCTGATCAGCGTTGATAATGAGAAGGAGCATGTATTTTGGTCATTCAGAGTTGTATACAAAATGACTGTGGTATAAAAGAGAGCAACAACCGTACTATGGCAGAGTGGCACAAGTCATGACTGTGTAATAATAACCGAAATTAATTGCAAAAGTGTAAAAACATTGCAAATTATTGTCTATTATTATAGACATAGTTCAGTGTATAACTTGTTATATTACACCGTACCAATGAACATAGATATCAAGAAGGGACAACTCGTTATAATTGTAGCGAAAGTGAGTAACAGGGGCGTGCCTTCTCTTTTGCTCTAGTAAGTTTTTTAATTGGATGAAATGATCCTCCACTTGAGGTACTGTTGAGAAACAACGTTGGAGATTTGAGAAATACCTCCGTTCTCAACTTAACCTCAAGTTGAGTTCAAACCTAAATGATTGTTGGGAAAAATCGGAAAGTTAATGAATGTTTAGCAGCAGTCCGAACCCAGGGCCACCTACAAATTTTTAGTGACAATGTTTATTTTCAAGGAGCTGACATATATTCCAAATCGGACCAGCCGACAACACATTACTCTTATTCGCCTTTAGAATCAAAAAACCCCCTTTAGACCACCAATTTTTAAAAAAGATATATTAGGGGGGAGAGGCGGTAGAGGATTTCCTACCCCTAATCATCGCATACCAGAAGCATTTGCTTTATATAATTTAATTCTCACATAATTTTATATTTATTGCAATAATATTTTTAAAGAAAATAATTTGAAGATATTAGTTTTGTAACAAATAGATAAAATGTGTTATGACCAAATCGTCGTTTAAAGTTCAAAACCGCGTATAATCAAAATGCAACACCGCGTATCAAGATAATGCAACACCGCGTATGTGACGTAGAATAAGTGGTTTTCTAGGGAGTAAAAACACTCATATTTCAAAATGGTTTTTTTTTTTAAGCAATCGCATTTCTGGCTAGTGTATTTTAGGACGAATGGATAAGGCTTGAGCCAAGAGCTTGTGTGAGCAAATCCAATTTTTGGCAAAAAAAAATGTCGGTTACGCGGTTTTGCAGAACGACGATACGCGGCTTTGTACTTTAAACGACGAAAAATGTATAACGGGTTAGGAATATGCAACTTAAATCCAGAAAATAAAAAATCAGTTCTATTATGTTATTGAATTATACATACAATAAAATTTTGCGGCTAAGCTGTTCCAGAATAATTTTTCAACAAAGAAATGATGGATACCGACCAGGCAATTTGTTATTATTTCACAATCACCTTGTCGCCTTCCTGAACGCTGTAAAAATCTAATGTCTTAGCGCTATTGTCCAACGGTACAACTAGATCCGGATATTTGGCATCAACATAAGACAGCTGAGGCAAACTAGAAACTGTTGCGCCAACCTGTTGAAAGCGTTTCGCAATCAGACCTTGTAATGTTTGTACCGTAATCATTCGCGGTACTCGTTTTTCCCAGATCTCTCCAGTTTGTTGGTTAAGTACACTAATCCTAATTAAATTTGAATGTTTTACGTTCGGCCGTACAATAAACTCAGCTGGCGATCCGTACTCTACAAGTTAAAACATTTTTTAAGTAAATTAGAGCTTCCTAATAATTCTATGCATTGAATATATACTTTTGATTATGGCTGCATATGAACGATGTTTTTTGTAGAAATCGTGCAACACTTCTGGTTTCTCTCGAGCTTTTAACCATTCCATAGCAAAACGTTTCCATGTATCATAGCCAGCATCACGACGCGCCTCAGGACTTACTTTAACTTTATTAAGCATTTCTAATTGACTAATCATACCCACAGCTTTAGAAAACATTTCGTCAAAATCAGATTTCAGATGAGGAGTTTTATGAAGGCGTTTCAATTTAGGCAGCTTATCCAATTCATTAAAGGTGTCTGCTTCATTCCATATCGGATTGTAGAGCAAGTTCAATTGCTCTAATCCAACAAACATTTGGAGCTTGACATGCGGCTCACAATCTGGTAACTTAATTTCTTCTATGCCATTTTCCATGAGATTCAAAGCTTTCAGTGTACTTATGTTGCCTAATTTGCATACTTGGTCAAAGTCCATAATCTTTGTACGATGTAAATCCAATTCTCTGCAAAATAGATAAATATACATAAGTATTTTAACTCATATGTAAGCGTTTTAAAATTATATATTTGGGCCACGTTTTACAAACCTTAGGTTTTTGAAGACTTCTTTACAATTAACTTCACTTAGCTCCGTTAAAGGATTTTCTTGAAGCGCCAGAACTTGTATTTGTGGCCACAATTTAGCAGTGTGCACCACATTTGTCCAGTCATTGTATCCGCAGTTGCGCAGATTAATACATTGCAAATTTCGAAAAGCTGGCTCTAATTCTTTAATTTGCGCTTCCGTTGGTAATAATAAGCGGTTGCAACTATTTAAAAAGGACAAAACAAAAATATTTTTAACTTAAGTTTTAAGTTTGGAAATACCGTTGCATTGAAAGTGTATTTTCAAGGTTATCGATTTTATGTTGTTGTTGTTGTTGTAGCAGCATACAAGTTCCCCAAAGGGTTTTTGGGGAGTGTTGCTGGAGTGACAGTCCTTGGCCAGATATAAATCTGGGTCGTTCCGGTTACGTAGACCCGACTGTCGTGGGAACGATTATCGATTTTATAGCTTGAAGTATAATAATAAGGTAAAACAAGACTTTTGTGCTTTATTAACATTGCTANACCCGACTGTCGTGGGAACGATTATCGATTTTATAGCTTGAAGGTTTAAATTAATCAGTATAATAATAAGGTAAATCAAGACTTTTGTGCTTTATTAACATTGCTGTTTTAAGTAGCAATTTACCTTAGGTTTAAATCCATTAAAGTCGGCACCTGCTTACATATATTTGCGACTATCTCCCAATTCCAAATAAGAGTAGAGCTAACATTTAATGTGGCAAGCACTTCGAAATCCTTTAAGTAGCCTGCTGCGTTTATTGGACAATTATCGACGCTCACCTCAGTCAACTGCTCAAATTTGCTCTGCTTGCGTGCTATCTTATCCATGCCCACAACTTCAAAGAAACTTGCTTGCATATTTTGCTGGGCCTCGCGTATCAGCGATGCGTCCAAACTGTTTTCAGCCGAATAACCTAGGTAGCGTTCCCTGGCTGCATCTTCAAGTGATTCAAAGGGACCTATTTTACCGGGACGCACAAAGCTACCGGCGTTAGAGTGTTGCGTATGGAAGTAGTGTTTGCCATCAAGGCATCCATTATGTTTACCACGGCGCGGATCATCCCATTCAATCCCCAACCAAGAGCCTGTATAGCCAGTTACCTATGCAAGAATTTGATGTATAGACACGAAAAAAATTACATACAAACACCCGTCTGTTGAACTTACCTCGCCCACGTACTTGACGGTACCATAATTGTCACCTATTTTGATGCGCGTCCCAACGGGATAATGCAAACGAGTATCGTCAATTATTCCAACCATAGCGGTAATAATTGGGCTGGAAACACGCCCTTTTATATTATTTTTTTTTGACAATCAATTTCCCAATGCGCTGATAATTTTAATTGCAGATTGCAAACTTTGTTTATTTTTCCGGCTTTACACAATTCCGTACCTGAAAAAATTCATTTAAATTAACATATAGTGGAGTTTGATCGCTTTTTAAAGGTATTTTATTGTAGCCAATGATGCAGTTATGATGATAGTTTGTTTTCAATTTTTTACCATACAACATTAATATCGTAAATAAATTTCTTCTGTTGCAAAAAAACGATATAATTTTTTCGCACGGTTGTATTTAGTTGTATGTCCAAACTCACCGTTAAGGCCCGTCCACATACAGCTGGGGTTGGCTTTCCTTTATGGCCGTTCGTTAAAGGGGCGGTGGGCGAAATGTAAGTGGGCGTGGCACCTCTAACCCACCTTTTTGAAGAGGGAATGAAACGCCATTGACAAAAATGCAATCCCCGACCACCTAGGTCCCCTATGGCTCCCTAGGGACCCCTTAGAAAAATTGTCAAAAATCACGATTTTCATTTGCGTTTATTCGCTTGAAAAATGTTAAATATTCATTTGCACAATACATTTTTATATACACATTTTTATATACAAGACATTTTTATAAAACACCCAGTAGCCAAAATAGACATCACTGGGGCGGCAGCCCCAGGTTTACCACATAGAAAGGGAATTCTAGTTACCTCATCCTTTCCCACATCACTGGGGCGGTAGCCCCAGTTAGGTCACACATAAAGGAGAATTCTACGTAGTAAGGGTTATAATCCCTAAGGAATTCTACGCAAATATACTGTGGACGCAAGTAAAAATTTCGATTTTTGGCCATTTTTCTAAGGGGTCCGTAGGGAACCATAGGGGGCCTAGGTGGTCGGGGGTTGCATTTTTGTCAATGGCGGTTCATGCCCTCTCCAAAAAGGTCGGTTGAGAAATATAGTTTCTAATGCAATTATTGATTTAAAATTTTGATTTATTCTGCCGCTAGTATGTTAATTTAGTGACCAAAGTATTCTCTGCTAAGTGTGCTTTTACACAGTTCAAGTATTGAATTCAATTCTGCTCGGACATGGAAGAGAGGGGGTGAGAAGAAAAGGGACGAGTACACATGCGTCTGTACCGTCAAGTCGTTTCAACTTTCTTGCTTTGCTTTTGGCATTTTCGTTGCTTCCCATTTAAAGAACCAAAGACTTGAATTCAACAGAATTGAAACGTCTAAAAGCAAATAAAAAACACAAAAGAGAATGAGCAAGATTTGCTTTCAAGTACTTGAATCATGTAAATCAGGTGTAAGCGTTCATTGTAGCAAGCACGCACGATTGAGAGAATACAAAGGATGCGCCGATCTCGGACCGTTTCCTTGCAAAATTTTTTCTTCTTCTTCCATTCTTGCTCACGTTTTGGCATTTCTCTCTCGCAATTGCACCAGTGTGACGGCACATAAAAGTTATTCTCAAAAATCCTCTCTGATCGGCGCAATCTTGTATTCTATCATTCTTGGCAAGCACGGGCGTTACTCGCGCTGCTGTCAAAGCGACGCCAGCGCCAACGCAACGCCAAAGTTGTATGTGGATGTTTGTATGGTATGTTTTTCACTTCAGTTTAGAAGCCTCCAGTTCGTCACTTAATTTTACGTCGTTTTTCTTCACTTTCGGCAAATTAAGTATATCTTCAAAATAAATAAAAATTTCTTTAAAATACATGATTTATTTAACCAAATTTAATGCTAAAATGCTTGTTAAATAGCAAGTATGGCAAAGAAACTTTTCGAAAAAAGCTACTCAAAAGAAGTCTAATAAATTTCTTGTTGGNTTAATGCTAAAATGCTTGTTAAATAGCAAGTATGGCAAAGAAACTTTTCGAAAAAAGCTACTCAAAAGAAGCCTAATAAATTTCTTGTTGGCAATAAACACCAAAAAAATATTTATCCAACCTTGGAGAAATTCATAGTTCTCAAGTTAATATCTAACATCATTCTCCTACTCATCTCTAACCGACGCGCAGATACGTAAAAAGTGATAGAGAAACGAAATTTTAATTATCAAGTGAAAAACTAAAGCTATATAAAGAAGAAAATTACCAACAAAAAGTAAATAATCTTCAAAGTATCCTCAAATAGTATTGAAAGAAAATAAAACGCAAAGTGAATCAAGTGGAAAATTACTGTCGGACTGTATACTGTGAAGTTAATTATTTGTTGTGTTTTCGTATTCTCCAGTAAAAAATATCCAGTAAATTGCCAATGAGTGAAATATGCAAGAAAGTACGAAAACGCAAAAAAAGCAAGAAGTAGCTAGTTTATGAACAGCTGATTAATTTGTAATTTGAATTACACTAAGCATCATGCCATCAGCTGTTTTTCTTACTAGCAAANTTTGAATTACATTAAGCATCATGCCATCAGCGGTTTTTCTTACTAGCAAATAGTTGCTAGTAAAAATTTATCTAGTAACAATCCAGTAAAACTTGCAAGTTCAGCTGTCATTTTTGCTCTCTCAATCTCCCCTCTTTTGCTAGTTTCTTGCAAGTTTTTGCGTACGAAAACGACATCCAGTAAAAAGCCAGTAAAATTAGTACTGGATTTACTGGATAGTGCCTACGCGAACAGGGCTATTGTAATGCAGCGTTTTTGCTGCATTTAAATGCAACATTTAGCACTTTCGAACATATATTTTCGAAGAACGTTCATGCTATAGACTGCTTTTACACAGTTAAGTATTGAATTCAATTCTGCCCGCATGTGGGAGAGAGGGGGTGAGAAGAAAGGGGACGAGTACACATGCATCTGTACCGTCAAGTCGTTTCAACTTTCTTGCTTTGCTTTTGGCATTTTCGTTGCTTCCCATTTAAAGAACCAAAAACTTGAATTCAACAGAATTGAAACGTGTAAAAGCAAATAGAAAACAGAGAACAGAGAGAATAAGCAAGAATTGCTTTCAAGTACTTGAATCATGTAAATCGGGTGTTAGCAAATGTACGTTTACGCGAGTTCGAAATCGTATAATTTTGACAAACAGCCGTGTTCTAGTCGCTTACTGCCATCCCTAAATTGGCGCGTCAAGCGCCAAACAACTGTCAAAAATCCTCATGCCCATACAATTTGTATGAAGCATCCCACAATAACGCGGCGCTAACGCCGAGCAAATGGAATTTTCATTTTTGACAGGGCGTTACGTGTTGAAGTTGGATGCGGAAGACGGAAAGAAAGAGAAAGGACAAAAAAGTGAAAGAGGAAACGAGAATAAAAACGAGAGGATCTGAGAAAACGTCAAAAATTACGACGCGTTGATTTGGGGATAGCGCGCGCTGACACTCGTCGACAATGGATAACGCAACGCTTAGCGCTCCAATTTAGGGACGGCAGTTATTCAGATCTGTGTCTAGCTTAAAGCTGCCTTTACATACGGCGATTTTCCAGGCTATTCAACATTGCTCTGGAAAAATTGCTCGTGTAAATGGTGATTCAAAAATCACTTTCCTCAAAGTAGACAGCAAGTCAACTTTTGCACGCGATTATCGCCTGTCCAAAAATCGCCTCAAGTAAAGGCAGCTTTACGATCAATTCGCACGCAGAAGATAATGTGCAAAAAACCCTACTGAAAAGGAAAAAAATAAATTTTAAACCAAAAATTCAATACAAAAACTTAATTGTTTTAACCATAACCGAACATTTGCTTGTGTATATATTCATTTGTCGGTGCTGTCAATTAAAACTTTCACACTTAATTAGAAAACAAAAAAAAACTGAGTTGATTCAAATTGATCCAGATTTCTATCAGCATCACATCGATGTTGAATTTGCGTAAATTTTATTTATCCAAATAATAGTGGTATTCATCTAAACCGATAACTTTATCAAGCAGATAATCTTATAAGTTTACGCACTCTGTTACATGAACGACCCACACTCTCTTTTCGTTTACACATGCGATAATAGTCGCGTTTTCTTTGGTCATAGAGCTCAGTATCACTAACTTTATACTACTAGCACGGGGATAAAGAAATTATTGAAACTAACTCACTAACTTTGCGGCCAAATTATCAGTGAAACAAAAAAAAACAGACGGGATAATAATTGAACCAGATCTCTATCAGGATCATATCGTTGTTGAATTTGCGTGCAAAATTTGTATGAGGATCCCGATTATTGCCCAAGAAAACATAGCTAGAGTTGCGACAGAGTTGCATTGGCTTCAGTTTATCAAGTTTATTCAGTGAAATCGCTGGATAAATTTATCAGAAATGTGTAAACGTGTTTTCATACAAATTTTGACGGTTCATTTATAAGGTTTACACAATTATAAGTTTATACGGTTTACAATGCATTTATAAGGTTTGATGAATACCCTTAATGTAAAATAATAAAGCCTGCTTTACAGTTCAATGCGAGCGTGAGCATGAGCTTTTTATTTTGACCAATATCTTTGTTACTACTTAACTGTTTGCAATAGTGGTTGCATCAAAAGATAGAGAATTAAAATATCTTTCAGAATTATAGAAAAAAAACTAATTTAAAATCCATAATATGCCTTTTGTTCAAGCTCACACTCAACTGTGTGCGTATGCAAAGTATTCACAAGTGAACGACAAGTTTTGAAAGATGTGTGTAAGCGCCCATAAGAATACAATTGGAATTCTTTGCATTTGCGAACGTTCACGCTCACGCTCGCACTGAACTGTATAGCAAGCTTAAATGAAATCTCGATGGCTTTAGCATTTAGATTCTTAATGCAAAAATGGAGTTGCATTTAGTTGCATTTAGGTGACGAATTTTGTTTGGATAAATGTACATTTAGAGCTAAATGTGCTTTTACGCGTAAGCAAAAACAGCCCATAATACGATATTGATTAACTACATAATACAAAAGGAGTAATAAAATAAAAAATTAATGGCTGCGTTTTTTTTTATATATTCCAGATAATCCCATTTCACTGCCAGAATAAATNATAATACAAAAGGAGTAATAAAATAAAAAATTAATGGCTGCGTTTTTTTTATATATTCCAGATAATCCCATTTCACTGCCAGAATAAATATAATGCGTTTGAAATATACGTTAACATATCATCAGGAACGTTCTAAAGAATAAAGCTGAAATTAGTCAAGAACGTAAACCTACCGGTACGTAAACCCGAGTCAGCTGACATGATCTGTCTTGCCAGAGCGCCATGTAAATGAAAACTCAACACCTCAGAATTTTTCTGTAGTTGTAGCCTGAAATCCTCGGAATTTATATTTTTCCGTGTCAGCTGATTTCTTCCTTCTATAGATGGTTGCCACTTCGTCAGTTTTGCAGATGGTAAAAAAGTTATAATTTCCTATTCAAAATACGTTTAAAATATTTGAAATTTACTATTGAATATTTTTTTTTTTAACTAAGTAGTTTATATTTGGCCACGATCTATTATAGCACGAAAAATTGTAGTTGAAAAGGTATGCTTATGAAAAGGCATTGATGAGTGGCAACACTGTAGTAAGCAATACTGAGGAATCCAGTAATCGACAAAATTCTGCGTATACAGACTGCGTTTAAGTATACGTTCTGCGTTCTTGACTAATTTTAGCTTAAGTAAACAAAAAAGTGTATTCCAAACGTCCACAATGAATAAAGAAATGCAGCCAATATTTAAATTCATCTATGGCTGCGTTTCTTTATACATTCCGGATAATCCCATTTCACAGCCGGAATAAACAGAATGCCTTTGAAATATACGTTAACATATCATCAGGAACGTTCTAAAGAATAAATAAACAAAAAAGTTTATTCCAAACGTTCAGAATGAATAAAGAAATGCAGCCTATGTATGTCGTTTCAATCAAAAAGATATAAGATATTTTACTATTTCAACGATATATTTGAGACCAATTGGAGAACTACGTTGGAGAGAGTAAGAACTAGCATTTTCTTAACTTGAGAAACAGTCCATTTTTCATACAAAGAAAAATGCCCTCTTTGTTGAGAACGCTATGAACCTCCACTTGAGGTACTGTTGAGAAACAACGTTGGTGATTTGAGAAATACCTTAGTTCTCAACTTAACCTCAAGTTGAGCTCAAACCTAAATGTTTGTTGGGAAGTATGGCAAATTAACTTTTCGCAAAAACCTACTGAAAAGACGCCTAAAAAATCTCATCTGGCATCAGTTATTGGAAGAATTGATTTTGGTTTTCATTTTCACATGTATAGTTGTAAAGCGCACAGAAATAAATGGATGGATAAAGTTTCATAATTATTTAGTGATAAATAACTTAATCGAAAAGCCCCATACCCCTTATTGTGCTTGAAAGTCGTCACTTCAATAATCACTTCACTTTTCCTCCCAAGTCACTCCGAAACACTTCACTTTTAGTGTGTTTTCACTTCGCTCGAAAATTAGCAAACGGCAGTACAGGTAACGCCCGTACTTGCTACAATGAACACTTACGCTGCGTTTACATAAGACAATTTGAGACAAGAAAATTGCGAATATGTATAAAGTTGTCAAATTGTTGTGTAAAGTAGGCGCCCAGGCAATTGTAAAGACATTGGGGCTGTTCAGGATCTTGTGCATATGCTCTTGGATTGGCATAATCGTTGCATTTGTAAATTCACAACAATAAAATGCACATGGTTGCCATGGCAGCAAGCAAAAAATTTGCAAATGCAATTCCAAATGCAAATCCCAGGCATTTCCACTACATCCTGAACAGCCCTTTGGCGTGAATTTCATATTATTTTCTAAAGTATCCAAACACAAACCACTTTTTCATAATACTCGATTTTTTGCGATTTTTTCTTGCTTCATTTTCTCAAATTAACCAAGACGTGACCGAATTGGCCAATTTACTGTCCAATACATTGTCTTCGAAAAATCAAAGACAGTGACGAAGCCATTTAGAGAAGTATGAATGTATTAGTGAAAAAGTGTGAATGTATTGCTATTGTCTTGGCAAAATTGTCTCATGTAAACTCCGAGCTAGCAGCGAATACTTTGGCCACTAAATTAACATACTAGCGGCGGATAAATCATATTTTATATCAATAACTGCATCAAAAAATATATTTCTTGCCCGCATTTGATTAGAAAGGAAAATAGTTAAATCTTGGTCAAATAAAACGAAATTAGCTCATTTCCCATGTTAGCCTAGTTTTGACAGTTGTTTGACTGCTAATAGTGTCAAAGTAAGTTTTTACCTGAAGGAAGTTCAGCTGAAGGAGAAAATTTCTGAAGCTGAATGGCAATGCCTCTTGATCAATATACCAGCCAAGATAGCTTTTCATAAGCCAATATAATTATGTTGGGTAAGTCCTCCATACAAAATAAGCTAATAGCATAAATTTCTGGACAAATAAACGCGGCTAATATAATAATAGAAGGGCGCTTACACATATGTTAGTGTTTGGCCGAGCTTCTTCTCCGATTTCTTCGCCGACTCCGAACGGCAATTGTATTTTTATGAGAAGCTGTTTTTCATGGCAGAAATACACTCGGAGGTTTGCCATTGCCTGCCGAGGGACAACCGCTGTTAAGAAAAACAATTTTTTCTATATTTTTTGTGATGTTGCTTTGACCAGGGCTTGAACCCAGGCGTTGCGTAGTGGAAGCGCGCACTGCTTACCACTACATCACAGAGCCCCCAACCTATTTCACATAGTTTTGATTATTTGGAACAGGTGACGAACGACGCACGCGAAAAGTTGAAAAATGGCCATCTTTGGTTATGTGGAGACTTTCATATAAATGCATGTATTCATAGTCAGCTGTCGAAGCGACGCCAACGCAACGCCAAAGTTGTATGTAAACGGGCCTTTATGGTGGGTGAAATATATGTTAGCATACGTTGATGAATAGCAATTTGGCTCCTTTTGCTATTTCTATTAGTTAGCCAAACTGAAATAGAATGGTAAAATCTAAAATTCCCCCAAAAACGGATCAAACCGGGAACACCTTAAGAGCAGAACTCTTAACATGTTTTTCGAGCACGGAACGCTCTGAAAGCCTGCTGTGGAGTTCTACTATTTAACTGGAAAGGCAACCCCTTTTATTGTTTGGAATATCGTAAATGATAACTGAGGTCACTGAAATAAACAAGTTTGCAGCAGCTGACTCATCAGATAAGTTCCCGTATTAGTGATGTGCTCAGTCAATAATTTTAAGTATTGATCGATACTCGGTACAGATTTAAAAAGTATCCAGTACTTCCGATACTCGGTACCGAAACATTTAGGTTTCGAATAAAAGCGCATATAGACCAAAAATATGGGAAAACGGTTCAGGGGAGACTCGCCTTTCAAAACCCGAATGTAAAGCTTTTAATGCTGATTCAAATGAAAGATGTATATATGTCGGTTCGAGGCCATAATGCAGAGAAACTCTTACGGTTTTGTTGACGTATGATATGAAATATTTTTACGCCAACAAGTGCGATATCGATCCGAAACTTGTCGCTAACTGGTTAGTTTTTCTACAGTAAAATTAAGTGCTGTGTGATTGAAACTAGAATGTGCGTATGTTTGGGTTGCCTAAAGGCATGAAAGTGGGTTGCTATGCGGTTGTAAAAAACTTTCTATCACGAAAACCATATTTTATGGGCACCTTTTGATCAGTTTGTTCGGTTATATTTTATAATAAATGCCAATATAATCGTTTTCTTAGTTTTTTTTTTTTTCTAGGCAGATGTCAAAAACTTTCAGAAATATACCCTTTTCTTGCTTCTTTGATTAGGTGATCTTGTGGCTGCGTTTCTTTATACTTTCCGAATAATCCCATTTCACATACGTTAACATATCATCAGGAACGTTCTAAAGAATAAGTAAACAAAAAAATGTATTCCAAACGTTCAGAATGAATAAAGAAATGCAGTCTGTATTATTGGTTCATGAAGGCCCCGTATATGTGTATAAAAATGTAGACCCAAGGCGTATTTAACAGGTGATAGCAGCACCCTTTTATTTTTCTTCGCCTCACGGCTTCATATGTCAAATGGCTGCTGTTGATTGGTTGGAGCAGTTGATTGTTCATTGTTTTCTGTTCTCTCACATCCTTCGTTATGAAATTTTTGACAGTCAGCGCTGCAAAAGCAAAAACAGAATACATGTACATTTTGTTATTGGCGTACCGATACCACCTTAGGTCAGTGTTATGCAGGCAAACTTTTGTTTGCCAAATTAAATGGCGGCTGCTTAGTTTGCTCGGCGGTGGTTATGTCGAGTTTGGCACAGGGTTGCACGTTCATTATGGTTTTCATGGCTATTGCCAACACGAAATGAAAATTTCAGATGTACATAACGCGCACAATAAATATATTTTTATGATATCGANGTTTGGCACAGGGTTGCACGTTCATTATGGTTTTCTTGGCTATTGCCAACACGAAATGAGAATTTCAGATGTACATAACGCGCAAAATTTAAAATTTTTGTATATGACAACACCGAATTTGCTGCAGTTTGACCAAACAAAATTAGTTTGCTGTGAGAGTCGCCAAACTCGCTCTCTCCGAGTTTGCTGCAACAACAATTGCACGCAGTTTGCCAAACAAAATTTCTGCATAACACCGGCCTTATTATTGAAAACGCCTTGTGTAGACCCTAGAGCTAGATAACTATCGATAGTTAGGAATGAAACGATACAAGTACATACTCGATACTGTTCGTTCGATACCAAGTAATTTTGGCATCGATACTTTTGAGCCATTATGAGTTTTATTTTTTCCATAACAAATAATCGTTATTCAGCCCTATTCTGCATTTAGACTTGAATCGAAATTTTCTCCGTTTGGCAACTTTGGTATTCTGTGTTCCGTTTCCTTTCGATCAATCTTCGAAATTTACGTTATATCTATTCTACATTTCGATCGTAGTTCCGTTTTTCTAAGTTGTAAATTTGTTGACGGTGAACGTTTCGATTGTTATTTTCGTGGGTTTAAATAATAAAATTTAAAAAAAAAAATTAAGTAAAATATACTGTGCATGATTGTAAAAGTTATCGAATTTTCTCGATTTCTGTGTTTTCGAGAGCGGTAATACTTGCAATACGACATATTGGCTCAAAAAACGAATACTGCGCGAGGGTTTCAAAGAGGAAGCACAGGCGTTTTTGTTTTCATTATCTATAAATAAGACTGGGAAATGCACTGAATACAATTTATTCTTTGTATATAAATTTAATAGAAGTATTTACATACATACATACATACATAAAACGTGAAGTTACATAAAAAAGATGATTTTATTATTGCACTCGTTTTTACCAACGTTTTAAAAAGAGGTGCGTATGTTGTTTCAAATTCGATTTGCTATGAAAGGATAAGCTCTGTTCTTCCCCTCCTCCTAACGGCTTTCAAAATGAAATTCATTTGCGTTCAAATCTTCCACTCTGTAGCTTAAACCAGTTAAATGAACAAAACATGTTCATAAACAAGTTAAATCGCATGCAATTGTTGTTGGAAAATTGAACCAGTTAAATCATTTGACTCGTTTGAAAACCAGTTCAGCGCAGAGTTGTATCGGAAAGCTTTCTGCTCCGGCCAATCAGAAAGACCCAAAAGTTTTGATTTGACACGCCAACGTTCAAAAAATTTATATTCTGAAAACTATTAAAAATTAAAAAACTATCAAAATTGTATGCATGTCTGCCAGCCAAAAATGAGGCAAAGGTGGTAAATAGTTTTTTCCCATGAGGTCTCATCGTACGCAGAGATAAATAATGCATAGGAACTAAACATTTTGAACTCTCTAAGTAATCCGTATGCGTTAATATCATGAAGCTGACATTCGCACAAAACAAATTGAAACACAAAAACTTGATTTTGAATAATTCTTTTTCGAATTTTTATTGGTAATCAAACAACCGTCAAAGTTAACTCCAAATGTTCAATGTGGACGATTGTGTTTTCCAAAAAGCTCTTGTTCATTTAACAAGTGAAATGGGGCCAATTTGAACGTAATATTAGGGTAAGAACATAGTGGAACGGCGAGCAAAGAGCATTGAGCAAAGCGTCGATTTCAAACGCATATGTTTCAATGCGAAAGCGTATAGTGAAAAGCTAAAGGCCCGTCCACATAGAACTTTGGCGTTGCGTTGGCGTTGGCGTCGCTTCAACAGCTGACTATGAATACATGAATTCAAATGCAGCCGTCCACATAGCCAAAATTCGACAACGCTCACGCCAACACAAAGCGAAAAGATGGCCAACTCTCAACTTTTCGCGTGCGTTCGCTCGTCAGCTGTTGCGAATAAATAAAATTATGTGAAATATTTTTCCTTTTTAATCAAGTGCGGGCAAGAAATATCGTTTTTAATGCAATTATTGATATGAAATATTAATTTATCTGTCGTTAATATGTTAATTTAGTGGCCCAAGGATTCGCTGCCAAGCGTTCATTGTAGCAAGCATACTTTCAACGTGCGTTCTGTCAAACCAACGCCAACGCCAAAGCCAACGCGAAAGTTCTATGTGGACCTTGCTCGATGCTAGCTCTTCGCTTTACTTCGCTCAATTTTTAAACCCTTTTCGCATTCTGTGTACTCTTGTAACCGGTAATTTTTGTTTCCATCTCATAAGCTGGTAACAAAGTATTGCCCCGTGATGCCCCCCGTGCCAGAGTTTGCACAATTCTACATAGCTGAATATTTTAACTGCATTACCAACGTACCTAGAATCGCGGTGACAAGAACTGGTAACATTTTTTGGTAATAAGTTACAAAATCATCGGTAACGTGCAGAATAGACTTGTTATTCATTATTTATTATGTGCAGCCATTGGTGCCGCCAAGAGAGACAGTATTCTTATTGGTCTTGCATTACAGCCGATAGTATCGATAGTCTTAAAACATCGATAGTATTTTTTTAAAAGACAAACCATCGATATATCGATAGTATCTTCGATATTTTTGCACCCTACTAGTAATTGGAAACTTTAAAGGGGAAATCACCCAATTTCTTGCGAACTGTGCGCTTCCCGTCTCCCGAAAACATAACAAAGAACTGGTCCTTGCTGGGGCCACGTAATCATTTCATGTTTGTATATCAGCAGCTCGATTTCACAATCGCAGAGTAGGCTATCAGTTGCCATACAAGTGTTTTATTCATTTTTAGTGACTGCTCATTCATAATACATAATTCTTCAATAGTAAAATAATAAAATTCTTAAAAACCAAAACTCGAAAATAAGATGACTCCGAGTCCTACTGAAAGTGTAAGTCGCATTATCAATCATGAACTGTGTATATTTATAACTAAACCCGATTCAATGATGAAATTCTTCTAGAAAACCATATCAAAGGCAGAAATGGAGCCTCGTCGTTATCAGTTGGAGCTCCTGGACTATGTCATGCATAGGAATGCGATAATATACCTACCTACCGGCGCCGGCAAAACTTACGTGGCGATAATGGCACTGAAGCGTTTTTCCCATCAAATGCAAGAGTGAGTGTTTAAATATGGATATGTTTATACTTACATATGAATATGCATATCGTCGTTTAAAATGCAAAACCGCATATCAACAAAATGCAAAATCGCGTATGTGAAGTTGTAGAAATAATTTTGTAGAGTGTAAAAACACTTTTTTATAAAGTAATCGCATATCTGCCTAGTATGTTTCAGGACGAATGGATAAGGATTGATCCAAGAGCTTGTGTGAGCAAATCCAATTTTTGGCAGCCAATGTCAGTTACGCGGTTTTGCAGAATCACGATACGCGGTTTTGTACTTTAAACGCCGATGTATAGTTCTTATATTATACTAAGAAACATATATTTCTGATCAAACAATTAGAACAATTGAAAATGGTGGAAAACGTGCAATTTTCATGTGCAACACTGTAGAATTAGCTCGCCAACAGGCTATTGAACTGAAACGTTGCACCAATTTAGCAATCGGATTCTATGTGGGAGAGCGTGACGTCGATAGTTGGTCTCGTAAAAAATGGGATGAGGAAATTAGAGTAAATCAAGTAAGCTGCAAATATTTTTTAAATATTGCACTAAAACCATATTCAATACGCAGATTCTCGTGGGAACCGCACAAATTTTCCTAGATATAGTTTCGCAAAATTATATTAAAATTACTGATTTAAGTGTGGTGGTAATCGATGAGTGCCATCATGCAACAAAAAGCCATCCAATGCACGAGTTTATGCGTCACTTTCGTGATATCGCTGATAAATCTAAATTGCCAAGAGTGATTGGTTTGACAGGCGTTTTGCTGAAGGGTAACAAATTAGCTAAAATTCGCGAAGAACTTGAGAATCTGGAGGCTACGTTTCGTGGCAATATTGTTACAGTTAGTTCTATAGAAGAATATAGAAACGTGATGGTGTAAGTTCTTTACATTGGCCTTTTCGAATATTAATTTTATATTATCGATTACATATGAATATATGTATATGCTTTTATGTAGGTATTCGACGAAACCAACAGAAAAACTAGTAACGTATTCAAGTCAAGCGCACAATTTTAAATTGCATGACACTATCAAAAGTATCATTGCCGAATGTTTTGTTGTTGTAGATGCATGGAATTTAGGAGTAATACCAGCAAAGCAAACAAAAAATTTGGGGACATTGCGCGAACCCAACAAAAAGAATTTTTTAAAAAATCTGCTAAATGATTTTTTATATCAAACAAATGAGTTTGGCTTATATGCTTCGGCAATTGCTATTATGTCTCCGATAATCGAATTTGAAGTAAAAAAACGGCAGGCTGAAACAATTGCATTGCGAAATCTTTACCGTTACACCATAAGTGTATGCGAAAAAATACGACATATGCTAATAATGGAGTTAAAAGAAGAGGATTCAGATCCAGATAGTGCTTGCCACACCACTGATATTATATTGAATTTTGCTACACCTAAAATGCGTACACTTCTTGGTTTATTGAGCGATCTTTTCGAGAATAAAGATCCGACCGGCATTCGATGCTTAATATTCGTAGAGCGACGGTACACGGCCAAGTGTGTATATTATGTTTTAAAAAAGTATATTGAACAAAAACCAGGGCTGGCGGAAACCCTACGTCCACAATTCATGGTGGGGCGGAACTCGATAATGCCAAGTATAGAGAGTATTCTTGACCAGAAATGGAACAAATCGGTAAGTGTTTCATAATACAAAAGATAATTTGCTAAACATAAGTCACCTGAAATGCAAAAATACATACGTAACATCATCGTAACTGAAATAGAAAAAGTCGTGACCAAAAACTCGCTTTATTTTCTGACATTCGGCTGCCTTATACTAAAATTTTAAAGGTAATTTTTCAAATAAGCCAGTGTCAAAATCTCGTCTTCTCGCTCTAATTACTTCACCTGGTATAATTCCATGGTCGCGACTAAGATTTTTATTTTATNACTCGCTTTATTTTCTGACATTCGGCTGCCTTATACTAAAATTTTAAAGGCAATTTTTCAAATAAGCCAGTGTCAATAATTTTTTCAATAAATGATGTGGGAGTTGTAATTCGATGAAATCCATCATATCAATGAAAACTGAGTTTTGAATTTTTTATTAGTTACGCCTTTTTGAATTTCAGCGATGAAGTTTGTTACGTCTTTTGCATTTCAGGTGACGATATATACTTTCACCTATTACATACCTTCAAATACAAGGGTCTCTTATTGGATGCATTGTAAGTGCTATCACTGAATAGCAATTGCTGCAATCGTATAAAATATAAGTACATTTTGCGCTCGTTACCATACCGATTTAGGGGCAGCATTTTCGTAGATTTTACGAGAAATCTGATTACAATGGATTTAGTAATAACCCACACAAATTGATGCAGTTATATCGTCGCCTTAGAGTGTAAACCTGCTAACGACCAAAAAACATATTTTACTGTAGAGAAAAAAAACTAAATATATCTTTAACTCTTAGTCTAAGGGGCAAATCCTACATATAGTTTGTTAATCGCGCGACGTTCTATGGCCCTAATCCAGAATTAGAATCCAGTGATTACGAGCTTAATTTAAATTTTAATTAAAATAGTATTCCATAGATAAAAACAATTATATATATATATAAATATTACAGATTTATTCTTCCGTTTATTGCAACAAAAATAGGCAGTTTTAAAACATATATTAGTAACTATACGTGAAGTATTCCTCTCTCGAATTAATAGTACAAAGACTACATATTATTCAATCATGAGGTAAATTGTTATAGTAGGCGTGGTAATCTTCAGGAAGTAATCGTTTGAAATACTGGAGATCTCATACTTTCTGCGAGCAATCGTACGCCTACTCTCGTATAAATTCGGAAGGTGAGAAAACGGCAAGGAAACAGCTACTGGGGATTTTCTTTGCGGTATTACTTCCCATTCGTTGGAGAATCTTAGTTTGAAATGTATGTCGCCACTTGGTGTATACCGTAGGGCTCGTATATCAGTTACTTTAGCAGCATCTTTGCCGCGACCGGGACGAATGCTATTAAAGTATTGAACTGTGTTAAAGCTTTTAAAGAACGTGTAACTAAGATAAGTTACGTGATATGGTTTTGGATTTTTTCTAACTGATCTACATACTTCAATGTATTCTGCAGGAACATTGATATCTCTTTTCTTAAGTGCTCGTTCGATAGTGGAATGGATACAATCAGCTTCCATTTGGGTATCGCCTACTTCAAGAAACTTTTGCTCAAAAATGATATTGTTATTTATAGCTGTGGATAACAAAGCATTAGCCATAATACTGTTTCGGTTTTGATATGTGCATTCGCCGCTATAAAAAATTACTGTAATTGGTTCACCGGAACTATTATTTGGTACTACATTTTTTTCTATTAAATCTACCCACACGCTGGAAAACTCTTCTGCATTTAATCTTCCTTCTGTTTCGTTCCACATGTAACAATAATTTCCTTTATATATAAAAAATTAAAGCTTATTCGCTGGCTATTACCTTGGCTTAAACGTATAAAGAAATACTCTAGGATTGAACAATAATCGAGCGACAGAAGCACAATATGTTGGATTTAGCAGTTGAATTTGAACTGATTGTACTTAGCTGCTTTACTCATCAAACAATTTTTGACAATTATATTTTTATATTGACGTATTTTTTTTGCTTGCCAACTGCGGAATCGCCTACTCCTTGGAACCGCATCAAAAGGTCAATTTTGCCAAAAAACGGATTTAGCAGGTTTACACTCTAAGCCGACGATATAATGCTGCATTTTTTTGTAAGCGAGCGACAAAAGAACGCTCAACTCGGGTAAAATTTCGTTTTAGCTACTTAACCAACCCCTGGCNAAGAACGCTCAACTCGGGTAAAATTTCCTTTTAGCTACTTAAGCAACCCCTGGTAGCTGGAAAGAAACATGTGATTAGTTCAACGTGATTTAGACACAAAAAACAATAGAAATTAGTAATTATGCGAGGTATTTGCGTAATATATATACTTATTTAAAATATAATAAAGTTTGTGTTGTTGCTTTGCGTGTATTTCGTCATTTAAGCGAGTGTTCTTCTTTTGTAGCTCGGCTGCAAAAGAATGGACCTTATGTTACCGGCCAAACTAGTTCTACCTAGTTTCAATATATCCGTCTAATGTGAAAATAAGTTGACGCAACAATATTTTGGACTATGTACTTGGAGTTGTACTGATGAGGCAAATTTTTTTAAAGTGCGGCCGAAGGCAGCCTACGCAGAAAGGTTTTCTGCGCAAAAATACTGTGGCCCCTTATCGAGTTTAGCCTAGGCAAAACTAATTTGTCCTAAGATTGGGTTTGGCCGGTAACATAATATTACAACTCAAGTGCATATGTACATATGTCGATATCTACCAAAAGTGCTTCATGCTGGAAAACAATCATTCTTTGACGAAAGCATGGAAATCAAATTTGATGATTACTGTATACTCAGGATTAAATTTCCGATTGCTTTTATTAAATTTTATTTGCTTTAATATGAGCTATGTATATAGTTCTTCCAATTCGATCATTCTTGATTCAAGTGCATAACATACGTATATAAAATCATACTTACATACATATCGTTACTTTAATATGCGGCATTCACTGTGCGTCTGGCTCGTGAACGGTTTGGATGTGTTAGTAAAAATAAATGTGTGTTAGTTACACCGACATGACTCTTGTATGACTCTGGATGACTTAACTGCGTGTAGTCGAAAGGCGAGTCAACACGTACACAGTTGACTCGCGAGTCAGACGCACCGTCTATGTTGGCTATAATATTCTCATTTTCTTCGAAAATCCTGCTTTATTCAAAAGTCGGCAGATTACTCACTATGAGCCTACTGGAATTTGAAAACAGTTACTTCAGCATTTCACATCATTTTAAAGAAATTCGCAACTAACGAATATTGTTGTAGAATATTTATCTAGAACATTTATACCACTGCATCTAGATGGCTGAGAGGAAGATCGACTTATCTCGGCAGCCAATTCGAAAACGCCCTATCTGAGAAAAATTTCCAACATCGTTCTATCTCAGACGCCCTACAGGTGATAGCAGGAGTACAAAAACAAACATTTCCATGTATTTTGTTTTTGCTTTGGCGGCATAAACTGTCAAAATCTGTAAGAGTGTGTGTAGAAATTCAAACAAAATTTTTAAATTTGTTATCAGAAGCCGTGCGGCGAAACACACACAAAATCAGCAAAGCTAGTAACACCACCTTATATAAATTCGCCTTGTACAATGGTATTTGTTCATAGCTATTGACAATGCCAACAAATGTCTTAACTTTGATTTTACAAAAAAAAATTTCTCATATATCGACAAGTGTTTTTTTTTGTCCTTTTGCTTCACATCGAAATTCGTGCTCCCTTATTTTCATTTTGACACAGTTCAATGTTGGCTTTGTTTCTTTTCTTTTCTAGCAGATAATTATCAGGAAGAAGAAGAATGAGAAAATTTAAAGAATTACGCTCACAGAGAGCGAAATAACGAAAAAGTAAAGAAACGCAAAACTAGTAGAAACTAGCAAGTAATCAGCTGATCGGTGTATTTGACTACTGAAAATATTTGGCGCGAATTTTTGTTTATCCATTTGGACAGCTGCTAGTTTCTGCTAGTAAAAATTTTACTAGCAGAAATTAGCAGGAGAGCCAAAGAAAGAAGAGCGTAAGAACGAGAGAGAGCTGCTAGTTTTTTGGGTTAAGAAACGCTTTCGTTGATTCTTTTACTTTATTTGGCTTTGCTTTTTGTTTTCGCTCAATTTAATTTTTTATAATTTTTCAAAACAAAAGAAAAAACGTTTGAAATTAAGTGAGCCATACAAATTTTGAATTTATTTACAAGCAAATGTTTTTTTTCCGGCTTTTGCAAATTAAATAAGTTCTCTACAAGATGGTTTGTTTAAAAAATGCGTCAACATATGAAGGGGTTAGAATCATAAGGGTCTAAGTGACATTTTTTGAAAATATAAGTTGTACCCATATTTGTATAGTTAAATATAGTATTTATTTGGTGACAAAGAGTAAACATTTCTTCAATTAGTTAATGCATTCATTTGGGCAAGAATCTTTTCAAATGAACTTACCCAGAATTTACAATAAGTAATCAACTTTAACGTTAATTATCTTAAAACAATATCAGACGTACTTAGATCCTTTTGATTGTAACCCCTTCATATATGGTATATGGGGTATGGAAATATCCCTTTTCCCTAGCAGTAAACGTTTTAGTGCAGGCAACAATGATATTTTTTAAATAAGGCAGATCGGAATATGCGCTCTCTGGGAAGACAATACCTGTAATTATTGTACCATGGGGTAAATGTTTATAAAATTGTTGGTAAAAATACAAAAATAATAGGTTTCTCCACCACTTTTTCATACAGAAAAAAACCACATATGCAAAATTTAATCTCTAAAATATTCTGTTGTCCAAAAAAAAAAATGGATCGCAACGTGGAAAACCGTTATTTTTACTTGAAGGCTGTCGCGCAACCCAACGAGCGCGTTCGGAGTTATTTTGGTCAAGTGCGTCTGTAACCAGCGTGCCCTCACCGGTTCATTTGCTTTCATGTGACAGAGTCAAAAATAAACAGAGGTAGATTTAAGCAAAAAAGTAATTTTTACGTGACCTGGACCGATTTGACAGTACCTCCAAAAATGGAGTTTTTCATGAATAAAAATAGTTTCTTAAAGATGTTTTTTAAAAAATCCCCTCAAATGACAAAACGAATTAAGCTTAAAAAATGTACATAAAAATATGGTCACGACCATCAATAGTTATCCAGCTCTACTTGTGAGGTATCATTGGAAAGGTATGCTCTCACCCTTTTTATTTCTTTGCTAATAAACTCATTCCAAGGATGAAAAAGAAAGGTAGGATGAACGAACATCATTCAAAGCTGAATTAAGATGTGTTGGTATTTGAAAAAAAAA